ATGAGTCTGTCTCTGTTTTGTTTTCTCTCTCATTCGCTCTCTTTTTTCCCTCCCCCCATCTTGCGCGCGCGCGCGCACGCGCACACACACACACACTTTTTTTTTTCTCGAATTGCCCATTACAAAGAAAGATAAAATACATTCCATAGACACAAAAATAGTCTCAGGAAAAAGGTGATGACAATACAGGATGATTTTTTCTACTGCATGTGTGTTACTGTTTGCTATTATATTTTCACAATAAGCTTAGTGTGTCAATTTCTAATAATAGGCTTTCCATAGAAGTTGCCAGAAACCATGTGTGGGAAGAAAGCATATTTGGATTGAAAGGAACCAGTGATGGCAGATGAGAAAGAGACGCCCTGCCTTTGGAAACTTTTACACAGACGAATTGGATGGTATTTTTATAAGTTAATCATAAAAATATCTTAACTTTTCCACCCAAAAGATTACAATAAATTTTTATAACATGTTTTTGGTGTGGGTGGTATATGCATTTGTTCGTGTAGGTATGTGGAGACCAGAGTTGATGTCAAGTTGCTTCCTTGACTGCTCTCACATTTTAGAGACAGGATCTCTCACTAAACGTGGTGCTCACCAATTCAGAAAGACTAGCAAGTTATTGAGCTCTAGTGATTCTCCTGTCTTGACATCTCCAGAACTATGATTTCAGGTATATATCAACAAGCCCAGTTTTTCATGTCAATGTTGATACTCTAAACTTGGTTTCTCTTGCTTGTGTATCACTCACTTTACAGCCTGACTCCTCTACTCCCCCTCAACTAAGAAAAACATTTTCAGTGGATGGATTTTTTTTAAATGTGTAATTATTTTAGAGATGATGGTTATGAAATTTAGATTTAGATTTTGTTCTAACAAATCAACTCAGGACAGGTTAAGTGCTCTGAGAGAGTATCATTGCAAATTGGATGTGGGGTTGAGAACGCAGCTTGTAGAGATTTAGTTTTATATTTTCTTTTAGAGATGAAGGTGGATGGAGGAGATAGGAAACATCAGTTTATGGGCCTGACTATGGATGAAGGTTTCATAGAAAGTAGTAGAGTTCAAGTGGGTATGCTGGGATGAGGAGCTAGACTCTCAGCAGAAGCTCAACTATACCAAATGGATCATGGGCTACTGCTAGTGTCCTTAGATACCCCAAATGTGTAAAAAGAAGGAAAACAAGAATTTCTCCTTCCCTACATCTGTTCAATACAACGCTGCTTGTGGCAATGACAAAGAAAATGGGTGTAGATACTAAGTCTAAGAAACAGCCCCTACTCTGAGGGGTTGATAGTTTAGTGCGTGTGTGGGAACAGCTCATAAAGAGATCAGTTTCAACATTGCATCAGATCTACTTACCATTGTGTGTTCAGGCTTTATTACAAGGCAAGCTTCTGGAAAACCCCATTGTTTTGGTCATAATATATATACACATTTACACACATATCTCACACACGTGTGTGTGTGTGTGTCCTCCCAAAAGTCACATATATAAACTTAATATCCAATGGAATACCTTTGAGAATTGTGGCCTCTGGGAAGGGAGCAGGTCACTAGGGCTCTGCCTTGGTGATAAGATTAATGTCTTCTGTCTTTCTGCCATGTAAAGATCAGCAAGAAGGCACTATCTACATAGTAGAGTTTTCACTAGACACTGAATGTGCTGCTGCCTTAATGCTGACTTCCAGCTTCCAAGACTGTGAACAATGACTTTGTTCATTTATACAGTATCCCATTTAAAGGTATCAATTTAAGATGAACATGTATCACAATTTAAACACAGAGAGACTAAATTTTTTATTTAATATTACTTTATATTGCACAGAAATAAAAATACTGACACTACATAACCATTACTCAATTGACAATGATTTTCTTGGATTGACAGTTATATTTTCTAAACAAGGTCTTATAAGCACACATAATGTCTTCAGTTAACAAACATCATCGCATCTTCACTGGAAAATGTTAGAATGGGCCATCAGTAAACAAATTCTTTTGATGTTAAGAGTTCCAAATTTTTCCACAGCTCTCTTTACTTTGTAATGTAACATCTTGAATACAAATTCACAGTGATGGGCAGTTCTGATGGATGTGAGTTAATACAGGCGTGAACAATGTGCTGTTCAAAAAACCACACTCAAATCTTTTTAAGGTAGTAAAATGATAAGTGTACTTTATCACCTTTTAAGTAAAGTGTGTTGGATGATTTGGTTTTCATCATGCATGAGGTCACAGAATATATTCTAAGAAAAGAAACCTGGATTCTTGACCAAACTCTGTAACTCAGTATTTAGGGCATTCAGACAAAACATACTCTCTCTGGAACATGCACAAAAGGAAAATGTGATTTGGGAGGAAAGGGTCAAGGATTGGCTTCATAACTCTCCAAATTCCTTTTAGCAAAATTTAATTAGGTTGAGTGAAGGATATTTAGATTTAAAATGAAGGATTGTGTAAAATGAATAGTAGTCATATTTCACTTAAAACTTATTTGAGACAAGGTCTCACTGTGCAGTATTAGCTCCTTGGAACTCTTTCTGTAGACCAGGCTGGCCTCATACTCAGAGATCCACCTGCCTCTGCCTCCTGAGTGCTGGAACTAAAGGCACATGACACCACACCCAGTTTAGTTTTCCTTTTGAACCAAGTACTTTAATAGTGTCTTACATCTCCATAGGAACAGCACTCTCCCTGAATCTATTTATACTTCTAACATTAGGAATTTCTGTTGGAACATTTATTTTAGAGTTAAGGGAGTACAACCCCAGCCCCTATCTACACTCTATAATTTGGCAATTTATGTTATAACTCATGTCTATTTTTGGCAGCAGAATCACTTCTTAAAAGATTTATTTATTTTTATTTTAGATGTATGTTTTTGCCTGCATGTATGTCTTTGCACTGCTTGTGTTCCTGCACAGAGGCCAGAAAAGGGTGTTGGATTCTTTGGAACTGGAGTTACAAATGGATGTGAGCCACCATGTGGGTTGTGGAAACTGGACCCATGACCACTACAAGTGCTGAGCTATATCTTCAAACCCACAGAATTTTTACTAAAATTTAATGAAATTAAAGAATTGCACGTAATCGGAGACCTTGTAAAGTACTGATGACTGACCAAATAAAAATTGACAGTTTTATCTTTCCTAGGACTTTTCTTTTTCTACAAAATACAACTCTGTCTGAAAGACTCATCTAAAACAGACTGCTGGAGGGTGGAGTGGGGTGGGGGCGGGCTGGCTGCTTTTGAAAGCTGGGAAAAGGAACTGTAGCTGAAAGCAAAATGAAATAGAAGCCTCCAAATTGGCAAGAAAGAGCACTTAATGAGTTCCTAATGTAAGAGAGCAGGATGCCGGCAATGGACAGGGTACTCTTAGTCACCTTTCTGCGCCGAGTGTTTCTTATAAAATAACTTTGTGAGGATGGGCCCTAGAAATCAAGTTCTCCTGAGCTTTGCAACTTTACTGCCCATTATCTTGCCATGGCATTGAGGATGCAGCAGCCAGTTGGTAGAACAGTTTTCTCCTGAGAAAACTAGAAGGATTTATTTATTTATTTATTTATTTATTTATTTATTTATTTATTTATTTATAGGCATTGCCACTCAAAGACAGACAACTCAAGTTAGTTATAACTTCTTTCTCCCTGTTGCAAAGAGATGGGTTCCACAAGAATATCAAAGAGATCTCCTCTGGGATCAGAAGGCAGGGGGTGGGACAGGGGTGGGGATTGGTGGTGAGGAGAGGAGCAAATTCTGTGCAATGGGAAACAAGACAGCTTGAGAGACCCCACCTGCATTAGGAAAGGCACATGCCCCCTGAATCTCACATGAATGAGTGCAGGTGAGGGGCATGTGAAGCTGACCCAGGGTTCCCTCTGGTTTAGCTCTTGCTACAGTCTTCTCTGAGTAGAGGTGTCAGTACGGAAAATCGTGGCTTAATTCCTCTTGCTCCTGACTAATTCGGGCATAATTAAAGCTGAAAGTTGAGCCTAGAGTTTCTTTCCCAGGCATAGGGGCACCAAGAGGACCCCAGTCCTCTAGTTCAGCCAGGCACACCTCCCAACACATCACCAGGCCGAGAGTCCTAAGGGACTTTTCGTGAGTACTGACCTCCCTCCCTCAGTGTTTCAGGGGCTCCTTTGATCCCCTGAGATAACTGAAAGCCAGTCAGGTCACAGAAGTCACTGCCCTGGCTCAGGAAGCTTCCTGCTGGGCCCCTGGACTATTCGCAGCCAGCAGCTGGGGAGCAGGGCGGGGCGGGTCGCAGCGCACCAGTGAGCCAAGGCGAGCACTATTCCTGTCTTGGTGAGCTACAGGCATGTTATGTGCAGCGCGCCCAATCACGCTCTCAACCCTCTACACTGACCTGCACTCCCCCCAGTGCCACAGGCTTTGATTTGATCCTCTTCTCGGAACAAGTTCACCCCCAGCCCCCTAGCCAGTTGTCTTCTGACTGCGCGGGTGTCCTCAGAACAGGTCCTGCTCCATGGCTGGGAATTCAGAGCCACCATCCAGCACTCCCGGGACACGCACAATAAGGGCCACATCCACGCATCTGTCCTGTTGGAGATCCAGCACCCTAGCTGGTGCACTGTCAGAGTGACCTCTCCAGGTGATGGTGCGCGACAACCTCTGCCCCTGGCGTGCAAATGTGGGCTCCCCAAATTGTGTAGGGGAGGGGATTTTGGGCAACGCGCTGCCATGTTCAGCAGCAGCAGAAACAAAGCCTAGCAATACCAGGAAGACTCTGAAATCCACACCCTCTGCTACTAGAGACATCTGGAAATTGTCTCTAAATCATTTGTTGTTTTAGACGGGCACGAAACAACTGCCAGATCTGGATGAAGAAACCCTAGTTTTTTAAACTGAGCAGGCAAAAATCGGCCTTTGCTAGGGGGCTCTCCAGCTGGACAGCGGAGGTGGGGGAATCCGAGTACGGGATGCAGCCAGCAGCACCTGGCTGGTTCCATTCCAGCTTCCCGCCTTGGGCATCATGAGTTACTTTCTGTCTTACTCCAAAGCTCACAGCAGCTCTCTTCTCACTGGCTACCAGGCCTTACGGGCTGAGGGCATTTTGTGCGACGTGACACTGGAGACAGAGGGCAGTGAGTTCCCAGCGCACAGGTCACTTCTGGCATGCTCCAGCGACTACTTCAAAGCCCTGTTCAAGAGTCACACTCAGGAATCTCGGGCTCGTGTAATTCACCTGCATGTGCCTTCAGCGGCTGGCCTGCAGCGCCTGCTGGACTTTATCTATACTGCCTGGCTGCCCCTCTCTATGGACACTGTGGAGGACACTCTGGAGGCTGCCAGCTATCTGCAAGTCACCGAGGCCTTGGGGCTGTGTGGCCACTACCTGGAACATCAGCTTGCCCCAGAGAATTGCTGCTTCACTGCCAATGTGGCTGCTCGCTTTGGCCTGGCTGGCACTCTACGTGCAGCAGAGCAGTGCATTGTGGGCCACCTGCAGGAGCTGCTACTGATCGGCACTGGCCCCTCAGGGCTACTGGAACTCAACCCTATATCAATGAAGGTTGTGCTGGGTGCCCCTGATGTGGCACGGGTGGCTGAGACACGGCTGCTGGGTCTGGCACTAGCCTGGCTGAGGCAGGAACCTACGACCCAGCGCCTGGCACACAGTTCAACACTGCTTGGATGTATTCGCTTTGGCTTGGTGCCTGCAGGTGTTCTGAGGCGCGTGTACTCAGGCTCTGGTCTTACTTTACCTACTCGGATCAAGGGCCTCATCATCCAGGCCCTCAATTACCACACAGCACCTTCCCGCCAGCCACTCCTACAGGGAGAACAGACTAGTATCCGGAGTGCCCGGACCCGTGTCTTGCTGGTTGGTGGTCTCAGAGCTAGGGAGACTGTTACTGAGGAAATTGTGGCCCTGCCAGAGGTTGTTAGGCATCGGCATCCTGAACCTGAACCAGAGGAAGAGGAGGGAGAGGAGGAGGAAGAGATGGAGGAGAAAGAGTGGGAGCTAACCCAGGATGTGGTGTCCTTCGATGTGTACAACCACAGCTGGCACAGCCTGACACGGCTGCCTGCACCACTGCTAGGCCACAGTGTATGTACCATGGGCAACTTCCTATTTGTCCTCGGAGGGGAGAGCCTTTCTGGTAGCCCATCTAGCTCCCTAGCAGACCTGGGCCCAAGGTCGGTCACGGCCTTAGTGCACCGTTATGACCCGCGCTTCCACACTTGGACAGAGGTGCCCGCCATGCGAGAAGCGCGGGCCTACTTCTGGTGTGGAGTGGTAGGTGACAGTCTCCTGGCCGTTGGGGGTCTGGGCTCCTGTGGCGAGGCACTGGCCTCAGTGGAGATGTACGACCTGCGTAGGGACCGCTGGATGGCAGCTGGGGAGCTGCCTCGGGCACTGCACGGTCACGCGGGTGCCGTTGGGGACCATGGTGTCGTGTACATCTCTGGGGGCAAGGCTGGGAGAGGTGAAGGAGGCACAAATAGCCTCCGAGATATGTACTCCCTTAGTCCCGGACAAAGGGCATGGAGTAAGAGGGCACCCATGGGCACAGCTCGCTATGGGCATTACCTTTCGGTGCTGCGAGGTGCGGTGTTTGCCTTTTTGGGAAGATATGAGCCCTTCTCTGAGATCGAACGCTATGACCCCAGCACAGACCAGTGGACTCGGTTGAGGTCACTACCCTACGACCGCTTCTGCTATGGACTTGCTGTGGTAGAAGAGACAGTGCTGCTGCTGGGCGGTCTCAAGTGGAGGGATTCACACCAGGTGCCAACTCGTAATGTAGTGGGCTATGACCTTGACCTGGACCATTGGGAAGACTTAGGCTGTGTGCTGCCCTGGGCATGGAGTGGCCTTCAGTGTGCTGTGCTGCAGCTGGAGGAAGGAGGGGAGGAGACAAGGGAGGGAGAACCTGGAGAGGCACTAGATTTAGTGTTGGGTTGAGTAGGTGAGTCTAGTCTTCAGCAGATCTAAGACAAAACTGTACTTGCCCTTGCCTGCAGAGCAAAGCTTTCCCCCCTAAGAGTTGGGCAGTTCTGAAGGGAAAGGAGGCAAAGAAGACTTTGGCCAAGGATAACTATTTCCCTTCAACTGCAACTGGTAGCCAGGAATGCATTATGAATTAGTTTTAGTTAATCCAAGAGTTTTCAGAAAGACAGACTCATCCTGTGCTAGAGCAGGACTTTTGGAAATAAAATAGGAGCTTATTTCCCTCCCTAAAGTGTTTTCCAGGTGCCTGTGATTACTTTCATGTCTCCCCCTTAAAAAGCTGTACAATTAGGTACACACAAACCACGGAAAATTGTTGGCTATAACAGCTGTAACAGTCCCACAAGACAATATTACCTGACGGAATTGTGAATGTGTAGGTGCGTGTGCCTTGATAACTGCTTGGAATGGTTGTAGGGAGGGGGATGATTTTTATAGTGTTGGGCCACTGTTATAGTTCTGATCAACAGTTTCATATTGATAGTGAATTGAGAAGGAAATAGTCTTGGAAAAAGTGTTTCTTTGAGAAACTACTTTTTGTTAATTTTTCTCTGTCCCTTTCCCATCTGCTTTTATACTGGCTGGAGTCAGTTTATTAGTTTAGACATATTTCAGCAACCCTTAACCACAAGATGTTACATTTGTAAAATGAAAATGAGCTTATTTTTGTTGGCTTACCCTTCTATGCCCTGTGGGATCACAGAGAAGGAATGAGTAGGTGAAGTTTACACAGTTATGTCAGGTCAGTGGGAAGACAGCTTGGGTTTTCAAGGTCTCACAGGAGACCTTGGTAAGCCAGAAACAGGTGTTACTTCTGGCTTTCATTAGCTATCAGTGAGGTGGCAAAGTGAGAACTTGTAACTGGGGTGGTGGTAGTGAGGGTGGCTGTGTGATTAGGTCACAGAGAAATGTGGTAAGCCCTCTGCATGAATAAAGTAGGTGCTGTATAAGGATTCAATAAGAGCTGAATTTATTTGTCTTCAGTTCACAGTCCTGCCTCTCCATTTGAATTGAAACTAATGCAACAAAATGTACAGATATATAGTGCTAAAAGGTCTCCTTCATGCTAGGCTAGTCATGAGTCTTGTAAAATTCATTACTTAATTTTTACCAGTAAAATAACAGCTGACATTACAAAAATGGAAGCTGCTGACTAGCAAGAGAGCTAGTTTTCCCACCAACTATTGTTGTTTGCAAGCTGTTTGTTCACTGTATATGTGACACATCCATCATGTACAGATATTTTTAAGTGAAGATACAGATTGGTCTAGTAAAGATCAATATACCTAAATAACTGTAACAAGCACACTTCATTTTAGGACAAGAGGGTTTTTTTTGTTTGTTTTTTCTCTCTATCTTTCTCTCATTTACATACACAAAATCCCCACAAATTTAATGTATGTTAATAACCATGCAGTAAATAAATGTTTTTACAAATAGGGTTATTTTTTAAATGATAAAAATATTACACTGGACCCAAAATTCCATACAAATGTTAATGTGTGGTTTCTCATCCATTTTGACTAAATATAGGATTACTGAAAATGTGCTGTAGAAAGGCCACTCTCCTGTACAGTTGTGCAAAGTCTGCAAAATGATAGTGATTTAATGTGATTTCAAAAGCAAAGAAAAAAAGATGCCACTGTGTAGTTTTTACTTTCTTCTCTACAGCAAAAATATTCACTGGTATATATCTGAACTCTTAGAGATAGAAGTACATTCACTGAGCTGCACAGGCAACAGGATAAAGCTGATCAGAAGTAGATTTCAGGACATAGAATAGTAAAGGAGGGTCCTTTCCTCCTGGAAAAACAGCAAATTGTGACTTGTACATTATGCAGCCACACACTAAAAAGCAGCAAGTCACTTTCATGCTGTGGTCACTTTCCAAAACTAGACACATAGAAATGGCATTATATGAAGAGGACTTTTTCACAGACTCCATCCACTCTAGAAAACAGTTCAGGACTCTAGGAAAAACTTCTAAGTTCTTGATCTCAGGTTACTCAAAGTAATGACTCATCGAATGATCGCCATTAGCAGAGAAGTTCATTAACATTTTCAACATTGTTTTCTCTATTATAACTTCTATCTGCCACTACTAGATGTATTTTACTTCCCTGCCTGATATATAATTATAGACGTTTAGTTAAGAGACCAAGGGAAAATTGGAAACTGCCTGGAAAATTGACTCATTTCAGTGTATACTTTGTCTTTTAAGAGTTAAGAGTTCAAAAACCATGAATTTGGGCTGAAATTATGTATGTATATATGTATGTATGTATGTATGTATGCATGTATGTATAGCTGTTAGCTGCCTTTCTGGGTGAGTTAAGTCTGTTTTAAAAAATCCATTCTTAAATTCTTCTGTACACAATCAGCATTTCATCACTACAAAAATAAAGGAAGATTTAAACCAAGAAAATAAAGCAGCTCTATCTTCGATTTTGGTCTTAGTTACAAAAACATCTTACAAAGCTTTGCCCTGATACACCATGCAGTGTTCTCATAGATTTGGAATACCTCCATTAACCAGTTAACACAAGTTAATAGACTATTAAGACGGAGATTAGCTACCTGAACTTTTCTTATGGTGATGCTCTTCTAGTTTGCTTAACTCTTTTATACGCACCTACATTTCACAAAAATAAAACTACAGCATTAAACTTTGTGCAATGTTTAAGAAAACTCTTAGAACATTTTAATAAATATAAAAAGGTTTAAATTCTTTCCCACCCACAAGGATGTCTGCACCTGAAAAAATTGATTTCTGTTTGAAGTCTCATTTATAGAAAATTAACTTAAAGGGAGAAAAGATGACTTCAGATAGAAAACTACTTTTTTTGTGGTTTTTCTACTTGAAGATCACCTGTATCCAGAAGTGTTTGCAAAAGTTAATTGAAGTCATTAAATATTGTTGATTTTGCACATGGTAAACATAAGCTGAGCACTAACTGCATATAAAACATACAAATGCTCATTAAAGACAGTGGTAATGTGACCATGTATGCTTTGTTTCATATAATTTGGTAACATTAAAGTATAGCTTGTCAAGAGTTCAACACATTGATAAAAAACTACCTCATGTACTTGTTCAGGGTACCGACAGGTACTAGATGGCCTCAAGTCGGAATGCACTTACACATGGGTCTCAATGTATGAATGAGTATGTGTTAGAGAGGAAGTGATAACATCTATTTCAGAAGAAATACTTAGTGGGTCATTTGAGGTGGTGTTTTGACAGATATCCAAGAAAAGGTCGAGGTACATCTGCTTCCATTGTTGGAATTCTTTAGATGTTAAGTCTGGATTGTCTAGGACTTTATCAATAATGGCTACTTCCCCTTCTCTGGCCTGAAAAGCAAAAGAATTCAATAGTTAAGATAGAGGTGAAATTTATCCAAATTTAAAACAAGTCAGTGAGCCAATAAATTCAGAAACCTCTATGAAACAGATCTGATATGTTCACATTCAGTTATGTAGACTAAAATAATGGTATATTTATTTTCTTACTCAGTGCTATGTCTCGGATTGCTCGCTGTCTGTGATTTACTTTATACTCTTGGTCTTTCCTATTTGCCATCTCTGCTTATGGAAGCCTTCATGTTTTAAGGAAACCTTCCTCATTTCTTCAAACCTTACTTAAACACATGAAAAGAAGCTTTTCTCTCTTTATTATGGCCTCTGTAACATCCTATCCCTGCCATCAAGTGGACTTTCCACTGTTTATCTCTTGAGTTATTTTGGAACATGTCCATGGTAAACTTGTTACGCTCCAGTGGGAGTAAACAAGAATCCCTGTTGCTGCAAATACAGAATTCTTGCCCTGTGACTTTAAGGTCTCAAAATACAAACAAACAAAACAACAACAAACAAACAAAAACCTTAAAAACAACAACAACAAAAATCCTTGACCACAGCACTGGAACCCTATAATGAACTGTGCCTTTCCCTTTCATACTGTAGGCTGGGATTCAGCTGACGACTAAGCTTCATTTTGGTTTTTGGGTATAACTCACAAAGTCATACATATCCAATACAGAAGAAGACAACTCCTGCTGTGGAAGGTAAGAGGGAGAAAGGGTTAGGACAGTTTCAGAAAAGCAGCCCTGTCGTTCATCTATGTAACAAAGGGCTAAGGGAATCCAGGAAATGTTCTCCAGAAATGAAAAGCCACGCCTCTGTGTCAGATTTGAAAGGGAAAGAAGACAATAACATGCCCAAGAGACATTTCTGGTCAGTAAGCAGACAAGATACTAAATAGGTATGGAACTGATGATGCTGGGAGTTGCCCTATGGTAGGACATGAGATCTACTCTTGGGTTTGTTCAGGCATTTGTATGTAATTGAACATTTTACAACCTATTAAGTTTCCAGGCCCCAAAGCACAAGGTTCTATAATGAGCCCCCGCCCCAACCAAGTTTCTGAACCAGTAAGGGACATTTTCTTTTTACTGACTCTTCATTGCCTTTGAAGAGCAGAAGAGTCAAACAGTATCATGACTCATCAATTCTTGTTGAACTCAACATTTACAGTGCCTCTTATTCATTGTTATAGGACAAAAATATTGTATTTACAGAGCATATAATATAAGAAAAAAGAGGTGAAGAAGAAGTATGAAGGAAAAGAACGAGAGAGAGAGAGAAAGAGAGAAAGAGAGAGAGAGAACAAAGGGTGTAGAGTTGGATGATTGGGTGGAGAGGAGTTGGAAGAGAAGAAGAAAAGTATGATCCGAATAAAGTATATTAAAAGTTTCAACAAAAGATAAAAACTAAATGAGGAGGGAAGATGTGGATATCTTTGGAATACAGCTGGTCAGTAGAATTACCCTTTTGTTTGTTATTGCTTTCCCTAGAATTGTGGCATTAGCTACAAAAGTTCATTAATTGTTCAGTGGAGTAGCATTTGCACAAATACCATAGTTAATTGACTCTGAATCCTTAGCTGTTATTACCTGTAAACATTTCAAATAATTGATTTTTCCATTGCAATTATGTATTTCTTAATCATCTCTATTCCAATACTGCATTCTTAGGGAGATGCTGAGGATTTAAAACACTTCTCAAAGAAGCCCTTTGACATTTTGTATTTTGGAATTACTAAGCTACACATTCTGTATGACAAATTTTTTGGTTTATTTTGTTTTCATTTGTGTGTGTGTGTGTGTGGTATAGGACCTGTTCAGGTAGTTTATAAGACAGATCCTTTCCTCCTCTACACAACCTCCTTCTTCAATTTCTTCCTCTCTGTTCCCCTGTTCTTACCACCTGCTTCTCAATCTAGCTGCGGTATAAGAAGAATGAAAATACTGTTAAGCACTTAGCGAAGTATATATTTGTGAAGGGAATATGTGTGTTAGGAACTGATCATGTAAACAGAAAAATTGTACAATTTTTACGTGGTACATGATGACTGTAGCTTCACCCCACATATGGTGAAGATGATGCAGGAAATATTCACAAATCATTTAAAGCCCTTTAAACATTCTATATACATACCATATGTCTTTAATATCTTTGATAAATATCCTACATGGTGAACTTTTCTTAAGGAATCAAAAGACTAAGGAGTAGCACCAACCCTGAATTTTGAGAAGAAAATCTTAAGCATATCCTGTTTTCTCCTAAAACTAAGTCATACAGCATTTAGTCAGTGACTTAGGACTTCAATATATATAAACAAACCAACCAACCAATCAACCAACCAACCAACCAACCAAACAAAAAACCCCAAAGGATTCCCTTCCCACCACTCTGCTGCAGGTTTTTTCTATTTACCGTTACCTTCCCATAGCTCTGCTTTTTTTTAAATTTTTATTTTAAATATTGATCCCAATTCCCTCTCCCTCCCGTACCACATAACTGGCAATCTAGTTTTAGTTCAAGAAGAACTCTCCCCAAAGGAATTATCTGTCCGTTTCATACCTTACCTTTAAAGTGCTTTTAAGAATTCTTAGCCTGTGCAGTTTTTCATTCATCACGGGATCATTACATCTTTTTATGAATGATAGCTTGTATTCCATCTTGGTTGAAATGCGATGTTCACCTATAGGTGACAGACTGGCTTCCTCCAGCGCCCTGTATAAATCTTGCAAGGAGTCTCCTAACTTTTCTTCCCGATTTTCACCTGTGAGAAGGAGTGGGAGGGGGGTAAAGGATTGGTGGGAGGGGAGAGATGGATAGATAGTTTAATAAAGATATTGTGTAGTTTGAAAAAAACCTTTTAAAATTTGATTATCTGAAAAACAGTCTAATGAATGATTAGGAAAACGATCTAATACTTAAGTATGTCTAAGAAGCAAAATAACAAAATAAAGTAACTCAAAATAACTCACAGATGCTAGTTAGATTGGGTTATAGAGCAATGGGCAGCCAATTGTTTTAGAATGATTAAATAGAATTTATGATTCAACAAATAGTCTCTTGAGAGAAAAATAACCACACATTTCTTGAGTTCAAAGATTTAGAGTATAAAATGTATATAACATGGAAATGTTGCTTCATATAGTTTAGTATTTTAAGACAATAAAACACAGAAGCTATTTAATAGAGTTCACCTGGTTAATTAATACTGAATGATTTTCATTTTCTCAGAGTTCCTAAGATGTAATGGTACTGTTTGGCACATATATGAATAAGATTGTCCAGTTATTTAATAAATTATTAGATTTCATATGACTGCCATAGAAATTCCTGGTAAATCATCAATATAGTAACTGATCATGTTATTATCAAAAATAATGTTTTGATGTTTTAGACAGGAGCTCACTATGTAGGTCAGGGTGGCCTGCAATTCACTATGTAGCCCAGGCTGCAACCTGCAACACATGAGGCTGGCCTAAAATACATGGTACTCCTTTTGCCTCTGTCTCCCAAGTGCTGAGATTACAGGTATAAGTTACCATGCTCAGCAATAATAATGTTTTAAATTAAATTAAAATGAAGCATATCGATGTATTTATAAGCAAAATATGTGGCATGTACTAAAAGATCTTATAACATTTTAAAATTGAGACAAGACAATACTCCACTTAAATATTTTTTTTTTTGGAGACAGGGTTTCTCTGTATTGCTTTGGAGCCTGTCCTGGAACTAGCTCTGTAGACCAGGCTGGCCTTGAACTCAAAGAGATCCACTTGCCTTTGCCTCCCATGTGCTGGGATTAAAGGCATGCACCACTAACGCCTGGCCACTTAAATATTTTTGAGAAAAATTAAGATAATCACATGTATGGATTTTAAATCTAGAAGAACAAATGAAAGTGTCATCTTAATTTAAAATTGTCTGAATAATGATGTTGTATTAATTATAAACACATTAATTTGTTTGTCATATAAGTAATAAAAATGAACTAGAATTCTTTGGGGAATAGCAGGGTGTTATTTGAGGAATACTTCTTATACTAGCCCAAGGCATAAATATAAAATGTTATTCATTACAGCATGGTCCATGCAATTTTAATATTTTGTATACAGTGTTAAAAGTAGATCCCCTAATTACCAATAATATTAATGAACAGTAATTTGTGCCAGGCTGTAGGGTAAATACATAACATTCATGATTTCATTTGATCTTCACAATCACACTAAGAAATCTTTATTTTATATGAGGGGAACTCTTTCCTCAAAGTCATAATCTCATATAAATGGTGGAATTAGAATCACTCTAAAGTAGAGGTGCCAATTAATGTGTGACTCCCTTAAAATGCAGCATTCTAAACACTTATTTCAAGTTTTCCATGCAATCTTTTAATAAAATGTACTGCACTTTCCATAGAAAAGGTTTCTAAGTGGATACAAACTATACACAGACAGTACTTTCATAAGTTGAACTAGACAGAAATATTTCTGTGTGTTCATTTTCTGGCAAAGTAGATAAATTATCAGAGTCAGAACACTTAAAGGGTGATGGTTATACCCATACTTTGTGTAAATTATGTACACCATCCCTTGGGCTATGCTAATGATGATCTAAACATGTTTTAGAAGAGTACACCTAAAATTGTCCCAAAAGTCCAAAATAATATTGTAATTTTCAAGGGAATCACCTATAGGATTAAAAAGCAGTTTTGTTTAAATTCTGTATTTTTTGCTCTTCTACTGACATCAGTAGCTGGACATATAGCTATGATCATTTGGTCTTTTCAGTAGAAAATCCCTTATTGTCTCTCAGCATAATTTATTGTGTTATATAACAAATGCCTTTAAAAAATCTTTAAAAAAATCCCTCTTCATTCATCCTTGAATTTTTCAGCACACTGGGGAGTTTGGTGGATGGGTGGATGCAAAAGAATAGATTTTCAAGTTAAAAGCAAGATGATGAATCAATCATAGAAAATTTCAAATGAGAATGCCTAGGAAGAAGGAAGGAACAAAACCATATGGTAACTTATGGTCACTAAATGGAGTTGTAAAAACGAGGACACATTTGAACAGAGTAATTCCATTTCATAAAAAAACCATAATCTAGGAAAGGACACAGGGAAATTATTTAGTAATTATTCAATTTGCCTTGAGGCAAGATTGCATGTAAAGACCGAAGTAATTTTTAGAGAGTAGGAGTTTGTGTACCACTAAGAGGCCTAGTAGATAAAGAATTACAGTAGTTATGGTATCAGGTGGTACAAGGTATTATACTTTTCATTTCTAGAAGGAAGGTAAAAGAAAAATAGACCTAGACTATAGTTTTAGAATTTAAGGATGGTAGCTTTTTTTTTCAGTGATTTTTCTTAATTTTAAGAGAAATCTTTCTCATGTTACCTAATACTGTAGTGCACATATATCTTGTTATATTTTGACATAGTTTGTTCTCTTCCTCTGTCACTATGTCTCCCTACCTTTCTGCTGGGGATCGAATCAAGGTTCTTGCACATACTAGGCAAACATCCCATCACTGAACTACATCTCCAGCTAGCCCCCTTGCCTCAACTTTTAACATTTTGCAATGTTGGAGCAGAATCGTTATTTTTATGTGATTTTAACTAAGTTTTACTTTAAGAAGACTAAGCCTAGATTACACATAAAAATGATATTAACTATTTTAAAAGCAAAACCCTCTCCTGCCCCTTCTTAATATTATTTGGGAGAAAAGCATCCACCAAAAGACAACATAATTCTACAAAGAATGTGGTATGACAGCTGTACAAAAAGCCAAGCATGGGTCTGTCTCTGGGCAGCACATCTGAACAAAGAATCACAATGACACAGAACACAGAAACATTTGAAACTATAGCAGCTGGATGATGTGGCTCCTGCCAGAGGTAAGAAATTCCCCTCTTATTCCTCTACACACCACACACATATGCAACACTGCACAAGACACAGTAGTGGAATGAGTAAGGATGAGTGACTGAGAAGCCAGGCTATCACAAAATGTCACCAAGTATTTAACATTTTAAGACTACACAAAGAGTCCTTTCATTTTCAAAGGAAGGGAGTGAGGGGCAGAGTCACATTATAAATCTGATTCACTGTGCTCAACAATCAAAACAACACAGAACTCAACATTCAAGACAAAAACAGACCTTTATTTTCTTTTATAGTTTTCAATGGGTTTCCTTGGTTTTTCTCAGATGAATATCAATTAACTCTACAGGGTTACTGTTGCAACTGAAAACATGAGAGCACCTTTATTTTCTTCTGTTTGTTTTCTTCTTCTTCATCTCCTTCACATTTCCCTTCAGGATCCTTTCTCTTCTCAATCTTTGCTTTTCCTTCTCTTAGAAGAAGCTTGCTTTGGTAGATGAGGCAAACACTTGGTGAGGCCTGCTTCCCAACTGAATTTCTTTCAATGTGCCAGTTCAGCCATTGGAACACTGGCTAAAAACCAGCTCTTTTGCAATTTGAGTGAATGTTTCTGAAAATTGGCAAAGTGTAGACCACATTCAAAATAAAAGGACATATATAGGAGCCTTCTGTGATTCCCACTGAGGAAGTGTATCACTGCTGAAATGACATTTTAATTGGCATCTAATTTATTCATGAAATCTGAATCTATGAAGGAATAAAATTTCCCCAAAATTGTATTTACATTTGTAGCATATAAATTAGGTCTGTGTCAGATCACACATCAAAAAAGTTCCATTTTATGAAAGGAGAAAGCACACATAAAATCCCTTTTCTTATATAAAATTTCATTGACTTGTGGATTTGAATGTCAAAATTAAACAATTAATTTGTATTTCTGCCAAGAGATGATCATTTGTGGCTGTGCCATATTTGGCAAGAATGAAAAAAACCCTCTTAGGTGTCATTCATTCATATATATATATATATATATATATATATATATGTGTGTGTGTGTGTGTGTGTGTGTGTGTGTGTGTGTGTGTGAATATATTCCACCAAGAAATATTAGGAATCCAGGAACACAGTGAATATCATAATAGTTCATTAGTTTTCTGCAGGTTTCATATGATCACCAGGTAGTAAAAAGAAAAAATAAAGAAAATCTCAAACAGATTACATAATGAATGATATTAAGTTTGTTGTAATGTCTTAAAACTACTTATGAGCAGATCAGAATATATTTCTCCATTATTTCAACTTTTTTGGTTACTATATTCTATTCATTTAGGCTCAGTGGTTTCAAACTTCTTTGGCTGTACACACAGGCTAAAACACTTGTGTTGTTCATAATTTACACATTTATCAGCCTATATCAATCTAATCTATAAATAAACACAAAAAATGAAGCTGAAAAGGATGAGATATAAAACTTGAGAGGAATTCCCATTATTTTCTTCCTGTATGTTAATGGCTTCTTTTTCAAAGATCTATACTGTGATTTTTCTATAAGGGGATTTTTTTACATTTGCATTTCCCATTCTCTATCTGCCATAATGCCTCATGCTCTCAACTTCAAATGAAGTGATATCTGTCTTCATAAATAAAATATTCCAAAGAAGATTTCCTTTTAGGTGACTGTGTAATTACTGAAAAGAAATTGTATAATAATGTTCATGTTTCTTTGATGAAAACTAAGGAGTGAAATCTCACTCTTGTCCCATTTCCCTGGCACTGTAATGACAATGTTAAAACAGTAAAAGATGAAAACAAAACCAAGAATTAGGCTCTGAAACCAACAATGGGAAATGGATAGTAGATACATGTTTTAGTAGAGAATTGT